CCCCCAGCTGATCAGCAGATTGGTGGGATGTGGGAGGGCATGCTCTTGGAGTGGGAACCTTCCCTGGTTGTCTGCGGCAGCTGCTGCTTTCAGCTGCATTTGACAGCCTGCCTCTTTCCTAGGGAGGGGAGAGGGCAGCCTGTCAATTAACAGGCTCCCCTAAAGGTTAGGATGGCCCTGGGAGGAGCCCTCTTGTACCCCCTGGTTGGTGAGTTTACCTGTGAAGCTCTCCAGTCATGGGACTGGAGGAACAATTCAGATCCTGTGCTGTTTTTATGCTGGAAGAAATTTCTTTCAGTAGAAACAAACATCAGTATGCAGCCTCTATGTAACCTAGCAAATTAAGGTTGAGATTAACAGTAACTCTAGCTTTAAATATGCTACAAGCATGTAATTTTCAGTGATACTGCAAAACCTTGGCTGTGATGAAAGATATAATCTTCCTAATACTTGGGATATATGATAAACAAATGTACTATGTTTAAAAAAAGTCACCATTTAATTTTTGCATTAGAGCATGAGTTGGTGAAGCTGGAGAACATATTGCTTTTTCATATTAATTAAAGGTGGAAACAAAAACCTAATGGAGTATTGGATAGTGTGTTATTGTACTGTAGGACAAATGAAGGTGGCATTTAGTACAGAAAACTACTGATTTCCCTGCTTGTATTATTTTGAGTAGATAGGGCATGTTTTGATCCAACCTTAACTAAACACAATTTTTGTTTGTCTTTAATCTGTAACCAGATAGGTAGGCCTCACATTCTCTGTCACTCTTCAGAATCATGTTCTAGGAGGTTAATTATTTTCTTATTCTAAGTGACCTCATTTATCAGACTGTTTTTGGTCAGCCTGAGATTTTATATCCCAGCAGTTTAATTGCCTATTACAGATAAAGTACAAGAAATCCAATTGCAACTTGGGTAGGGACTGCTGTTGCCAAAAATTATGCATCCTTATATATTACAGCATTTTTTACTGTCATTCATACTGTGTTTACAAGAATACATCCACAAAAGAATTTCCCTTTCTTTTTGTAGCCCAATATTATCTAAAATACTGTCTTGAAGCAGGCCAATATCTTTCTGAGCCTGAAGGTCACCATGTATGCTCAGGGGAAGGGATTTATAGGACTGTGGTCAACCAGAACGAAGGAGATGCTGTGGAAGGAAAAATTTTGTGAAGCATGAAGTATGTTGTATTCGGTGGAGTGCACAAGATATTAACGGCAGTCTAGGAAGTCTTTATCATGATGATTTGTTGCAATGAGCACTCTGCTATGCCCTTTTATTGAGCCCTACTGTAGCTTACTTAAGCAGCATAACTAAGCATCTGGGCAGTGTCAGAAATTGTTTCAAACAGAACAGATCACTGCATATTTTTATGTACGGGGCTGAAGCAAATAGGTCAGTTTTTCACTTATCGTGGAGTAGAGTTGTATGAAAATCAGTTTCTTTTCTCATTCTGTCTTCCTTCAAACCTAGTGTAAAGCAAAGGTGCAGGTGTATTCTTTCACTTATATCTTAATCATATGGATAATAAGGTGCTTTATAAATTAGCATGGGAGTATATGGAACTGATTTATTTGTTATTTATTGCCATATTATGTAGGTTTATAATTATGATAATTTATATCTAATGTTCCTACTGATGCAACATTTATCAGCATATTTCACCAAACTGAAATACACAATGATTTCTTATGACTTTAAGACTCTGGTACTTTAGCTACCTCTACAAAAGAATAATAGTAATGTTGTTTTGACGACAAATTATTTTTCTGAAGATTTTTTTTTTTCTGTATTAACTGGAATATCTTGCATCTCAAATTATTAGTTTAAATTGCCCGTTCTTAAAATGTTCTGCACAGTGATCCTCTGCCACCCCCCCATAAAATACATTTGCCCAGGGTAGATAAACAATATTCCAGCAAATGAACCATTTTATCATTAATGTAGGTGACCAGTTAAAGGGACTAGCTGGTTTTCAAGAGTGTCTTCTCATTTGACATTGTGCTGGGAACAGATAGATGATGGAAGGGCTCATTGCAGTCAGTAGAAGGGAAACTGGTGCTTTGTCCCCTTTTTCATATGCTGCCTTTGTCTCCCTAAAAGACTGAGAAAATAGCCCAAAATGAATATATACAGTAGAACCCTGATCATTGGTTGGTTGTTTTGTTTTTGTACCCAATTTATTTGCACCCTGATTAATGCGCATCAGGTTGCTGAATTAAGGATGAGGTGCTCAGCTGACCTTTATTTTCAAGGTCAGGGCCTCTCCACTCATCTGGAGCTCATCAATGGCTTGACATAGCTAATCAGAGAAGCAGCACATACCTCTAAATATGTTGGGACAGTAACAAGCAAAACACTATCAGTATTTTTAAACACAGGCAGGCATCCAAATTGTTCCCCTTCAGCTCTTAAGAAATAAGGTATGAAAGGTAGGAGGCCAACTCCAAGTCCTGTCTAAGTTGCTTGGTTTGGTCCTTCCATTGCAGTCATCCAGTTTTGGAAAAACTATGCTGCCATTTTTTGCTGAACTAAAAAAATGGCTTTGATTTAAATACAAAAAAGAGCTGGACAAAATGGGAATAAAACATCATGCTGCCCTTCAGAGCAGAATCTGTTTGGGAATGGAGATGAACTTCCTGCTCTTAAAGTAGACTTGAATAAGATATTAAGCATCGTAAAAAGTTTAAATAGAAAATTCAACTAGGAGATATTGTTTGCTCTGGTCATTTTATAGGGAGTGTAAATAAAATTCAGCTGACTTGGTCCAAAAGGTTTTGATTTTATTTGTAGAATGTAGCGATGTGCTGCACAGATCTTTTCTGCACTGATTGAAGTAATTCTAGAAGGCAGAAATATTTTGCATGTGGAACGAGATATTTTTGGTATGCAGAATATTTTTTTTTACTGTCATAAAATTTCATTTGTCATGTCACATGTTCTGATTACGTTGTAACATGGGACGTGCACGTGTTTTACTTCTGAGACAACTGTAGAAGGGATAACAATTTCTCTGTGCATCCTAGAATGAACATCTGCTGCTGCTTTCCATCTTGCAATAATGCTGAGAAAGAGCACTCGTTTCCCTTTAGGCTGATTTTGTATACAAATTTTATCTTTGAAATAAATAAAAACACAGCCCAGTTGGTAATAACTATGGAAGTAATGAATATGGAAGGTAAAATGATCTGAGCAACAAAGTTCAGAAGGTCACAAGTTCTGAAAAGGAAATGAGTCATAAGAACTACAGTTTTTCCAAAGCAAATGTTTTGTCGGTATTCCTCGTATGCTTAATGTAGATATCATGTGGTTCTATATTTAGCAAATTTGCTTAGAGCCTTGTGTGTCGAAATGAATTTTTCCAGCGAGAGTTTATCTTCTGGAAATGACAATACCTGCCATCAGTAACATCTCTGGGTCTTGGAAATCTCTCTCCAACATAGTTGCCTTTGCTCTCCCTTATGAGGAATCAAAAGATCTGGATTATCTGTTTGGCTTTCCGGCTTTATACAAGAATTAAGGGGTTTTGGGGGGTGTTTTTTGTTTTGGGTTTTTCTGGTGATATCTTTTCTTTTTTTAATTAGGTCTACTATAGAATTGCAAGAGGCAATATACAATTGGCCCATTGAAAGATACTACGAGAAAAACCTTTGCTTCTCCCTGTTTCCTGGACACAACAGTGCTCTAACCCTGTTACAGGATGGCCGTGCACAAGTTACTTATTCCCTTTATGCTTCAGTTTCAGCACTTTGGTATTCCCTTCCACTTTGAGAAGCACAAAGAGGTCCTTGGATTGACTTCAGCAGTACTGAAATGTGCCAAAGTGCTCTGCTACACTGGGGCAGTAGAGGCATTGTAAAATAATTGCTGTAATGGCCCCAAAGCCATTATTACAAAAGAAACATGGGAGGTAGGAAGGTCATCCCTTCTGTCCTGGATACATAGAAATCCTAGTACTTTTTGTTTAGGTTTACAGAGCAGTTCATTCTTACCTCTGCTGCCCTGTACCGTTAAGGGATCCATCTGCAAACTCATGAAAATGGACAAGAGAGTCTAAGAATCCTTACCCTTTGATTCTTCAGAGGAGCTGTCGTATCTTGGCAACAGACAGTACCTCGCAGTTTGATACTGTTTTAGATTTTGTAAGTCTGGTTTCGTTTAAGAATGTAAACACTTAAGTGCATGATTACTTCACTGGCCTCTAGATTTTTCATTGTCCTTTGTAACAGGTCTCATGAAATCTCAAGTTAGAGGTAGAAAAAAACTTCATATTAGAGTGTTCAGTCCACTAATCTTGGCTAGAACAGTATTGACTAAATGATATTTAAAAATATGCTTTAATGCCATACTTTATTGAGTGTGTTTTATTTTAAAACAGTTTTCTGCTAAGCTATCTGAAGTAGAAATTAAAAGCAGCATGGTGACTAAAGTCATTTGTTTTTTGGTTCCTGTTTACCTGAATGCTCTTGAAGCTTTATGCATAATACAAATGAACAGTTAATTATAACGGGGTTCTAAATGACATTTGGATGACAGGCAGGATTATGAAGCCAGCTGCTGTGGTTATAATAGTTACTTTGTCAATTATTTTATTTTATTGTATTTTGTAGCCGATGCTTTTTTCAAAGCTGCAGTGAGCCTTGTTCCTGAAGTGCCAAAGATGATCAATATAGATGGAAAGATGAGGCCCTCTGAAACATTTCTCCTGGAATTCCTTTGTAATTTCTTTTCCACTTTGTTAATTGTTCCGGTAAGTAGCTTAGTGGAAAATATAACACGAAGCAGTTAATCCCTCAGGATCAAGGAGGCTGTTTTTCTTGGTTTATCGACCAGACCTGAATTTAATATTTCCTATATGTTTTGTTATAAATTCCATGCCCACTATTTATCAGTTGATAAAAACATTCCCTTAATACTATATCAAGACACATGCATATTTTTTGAAGTGCAATGTTAAACGTTTTTTGAGCACAGTCCAATTAACTAAAACATCACCTCCACAATTTCAGAACAGCACACCACTTTCCTCCAAAGGTAAAAACCTATGAACAGCCTCTGTCAAGCCATTAGTGAATTCAAGTCTGATTTTACTGCAAAAAAAACCAACAGCCCCAAGACATTTAGTCTGTTAGCATGAATATCCCAGGTGATTTTAATTGTCATGGTGCATCATGGGGGAGAAGGTTTCTGAGAGCAGATCCAACCAGTGGGCTTCTATATCAGCAGTGATATCATGAAATGTATGTGGAAGCAAATGGTGAGTGGAATCTTTAAAGAGCAGCCAAAATATACATTCTCTGAAGCTAACGGTGCTAAGCAGGTGGACACAGTAATGTACTGCTTTCCATTTGTGATATAGAGGAGGAGGGAAGCAGAACATGGTGGTCGTGCAATTGCTGATATGTTGTATACCAACTCTACATGAGCGCTTTTCAGCATGGAAACAACTCAGAAGAAGAATGGACCCTCTTAAAAGCTGTTGCTTTCATAATGATTTCTTTTAACATTAAAACGTTGTTTGTTCCTCTAGCTTTGGTGTCTGCCCAGTGTAGGTGTTCTTTCCAAAACACATCATTACATGAGTAATACACTTGTTTTTGTAGTTTACTGAAATAATGAAGGGGGGGGGGAAATCTAACTAGTGTGTGTAATTTTGGAAGTTCAGCTATTAAGAAGTAGACCGTTAACTTCTTGTTTAACTCCCCCTTTGATTAGGAAGCAAGAGATCTCAAAATTTGTCTGCCAAGGCTGCCTATTCTGTGATTATTATAGATCAAATAGACATTATAATTTTCTCTTAATGTGTTTTTAAAGGGGCTTGCTAAGAAGCACATTAAAAAACCAAAACAACTGGTTGACAGCTTTATTTGTATTGTGTTTTCTTCTGCCACAGAGCTGTTATCACTTTTAAGAAAAACAAAATCCTCTCTGATTGTCTGCCTCTCACTTGTTCTCTAGGACCATCCAGAACAGGGTGTGTTGTTTCTTGTTCGAGGACTACTCAATGTGATCCAGGATTATACTTGGGAGGAGAACTGTGATGACAAAATCCGGATTTATACTAATGTTTTGCATCTGCTCTCTGCAATGACTCAAGAGACTTATATCTACCATGTAGACAAAGGTAAACTATAAGGGTTAGTTGGAGTTCAGTACTCTATAATGTTCTGTTGTAGCATTATATCGGAGATTTGCCAGTGCTGAAATTAATTAAAATTGAAGAATTATCCTTCACAGTTCTATGTAGTATGGTGTAGAATGATTTTAAGAAATAGTTGTCCAGCAGGTATCCAGTCCATAATTAAAATAATACTTGATGAAGTATTATTGACCTGCATTGAACATGTGAAAATCCTGGAATTACAAGCTGCCTTTCTTCAATGGATTTTATCAAATGTTTGGTTCAGAGTCCTTCGTATATTTGTTTGAAATAATATCTTATTGCAACTCAGTGGTCAACATATGGCATGCTCCCCTCTGTGCTTGATCCCCAGGGGATGCAAGTCTGTTAGCCAGACTTTCCAGCTGAGCTGTGTCTAGCTCTGGCTGTAGAGACTTGCCTTGGTTTACTGTCACCAAAGACAGCAGCTGTTAGATAAGTACAAGGGTGATTGAACTTCTTTTTTTAACAGATATTATGACTGTCTTCCTTCCCTTTCCCAACTCCAAAAGATTGAGATGAGGATAATAATAAATAATACAGTCTGTGCTGCTGATGGATTCCGTAACTGTAGAGTTTGTGCTTCCTGAAAAACATGTAGCCCTCGTAGGTTTTGTCAGAGGGACTAATATAACTTGTTTCTGTTCATTACAGCATGTGGAGTCCAAATAATGTTTACAAAAGCTTTTTTGGTTAGATTTTGTTTTTTTTTTTTTTTTAAACCCAAAAGACTTCACCATCCAGCGCAAGGTGGCAAAGGCCTGCAGCAAGGCAGCAGCCCTAGACTTCAGGAGGGCCGACTTCAATGAGCTAAGGAGAGGAGAGTAGTTGGGGAGGCACTGACGTCCCAGAGGGGAGGGGAGCCAGGTGTCCAAGAAGTGTGTTGTGCTCCTAAAATATCATCTGCGTCTCCCTTAAACTTCCTATTCTCTTTCTATTGAGCTGACTTTTTGGTTATTTGCTATGGATATGAGCTTGGAAATTTGTAAACTTTATTTTTTGAGGATTACGTTTGGTTGTTCAGCTCTTTTTCCTTAGTCTTTTAAGAAATTTTAAACTCATCAAAATATTACACGTAGTTAACCCTGATCTGTCCTGTGGTAATTAAGGGGAAAGGGAGAAAGCATGCTCATCTTTCTAAGATCATAGAATATGCTGTAAGAGCAGCAATCATTTTTTTTTATTTAAAAATAAATGTTTTAGATATGTCAGTCAGCCTAATTATTTAGGCTATCCAACTAGTTGGTGCAGTTCGCAATAGAAATAAATAGAATTTTCCAGCAGAATCACTGTCAGAACTTTTAGAATCTATGAAAAAGATTCATAGGGGGCCCAGCAGGGAGGTGGCTGTTCTGGTTCCTACTTAGGAAGACGGAGGCAAAGAAATTGTTAAACATGTTAGCTTTGTCATCTGGTGTGACGACCAAGTTTCCCAACGCGTCCTGCAAGGGCCCCACATTACCTGGGACCTTCTTTTTACCCCCTATGTATTTAAAAAAAGACTTCTTATTGTCCTTAATCTGGGAAGCTAGCCCCAGTTCCATCTCTGCCTTGGCCTTCCTAACTACCCCCCTACATCCCCGAGCAACTGCAGAATAGCCCTCCTTGGT